GTTGTTATGCCCTCTTTTATCTCAATCTCCACTCCATTATTTACTTTTTTATCTTTATCCTTTTAATTAAAGGAAAAAAAATAGCAGGATATATTATAGTAACCCACTTTGACTTTTCATTACCTTGATTTAAAGCCCTGTATTACTCTCACCATCTGGTTTTTAACTGATGTTCCCCTATTCTGTTTTGCTGGATAGTATCAGGTTCGAAAGTTTAGGCATCAGCTGTGAAGATAATGAGATTCATTATGACGCCCATTCTTGTTGACTTTTGTCTACTTTTGAAGACCTACAATGTCTCCAATGTTTTGGTTTTGTCGGTTTTGTTCTTTACTGTTTTGTTCAATTGTATTGTAACTAATGATATAGGCAATTCTATTAGAGATAGCGGGAGGCATTATGGTAACCATTGTTGATCACCTTATATTATGTTTTTACATTATCTATTATGTCCACCCTTTTGACTTGACTGATTCTGTTCTGTTATGTCACATTTGGTTTTACTCTCTTCCAAAAAAGTAATAAGAACCGTGGGAGCAATGAAACCCAAAATGTGAAATAGTCATGGTACAAAAGAGAAGAAAAGAAAGTGCTCCAAACTATATAACTGCATGTATATTTAAGTGTATAAGATAGAAAATGATATCACAGAGTTTTATTGGATCAATGAACAGAACTGTTTGCAGTATCATTGATGGAATGTCCACTTTACAAGCTCTAATTTTGTGACTTGAACAATTATTTCTAAGATGACAATATGTAATCCATTAACTAGTGATTTCCTACTGTTCATTTTTTTCTGTAAATCTGTATAACTTGTACCCTTTCCCTGCTTTTTTTTTCTTTTCTCCTTAAATAAAATTAAAAAAAAAATTAAAAAAAAAAAAAAACAAAAAATGAAACATTTGGGACTCAGTCTAATGAAGTAAAGGAGCTTTACACCAAAAATTACAGTACTCCAAAAAAGGAGGTCAAAGAGGGTATCAGAAAATGGAAATACAGCCCTTGATCATGGATAGGAAGAACCAACGTAGTGAAAATGCCCGTACTCCCAAATTTGTTACACAGATTTAACAAGATCCTGATCAAAACTCCAATAGCATATCTCACAGAATTAGAGAAAACATCCTAAAATTCATTGGGAATCAAAAGACCTAGAATAGCAAAAGCAATTCTGGGCAACAAAGATAAGGCGGGGGTCATCACAGCCCCAACATGGTATTTTGCTACAAAGCTCCTGTGATAAATACAACATGGAGGGGCTCAGGATTTAGCTCCGCGGTGTAAGCACCTACCTGGCGAGCGTGAGGTCCGGAGTTCGATCCCCAGTACCCCCCACAAAAGCATGTACTGGCAAAAAACAGACCCAACACCGATAGAACAGACTAGAAGATGCAAAAATGTCTCCAAACACATCAGCCACCTTATCTTTGACAAAGAAGCCAAACACCTTCACTGGAAGACAGCCTCTTTAACAATCCGTGCTGGGAAAACTGGCTCTGCACATGTCAGAGACTAAAACTGTACCCATGTCTCTCACATGTACTAAACTGAAATTGAAATGGATCAGAGATCTAAATATTAAAACCGAAAAATTAAATCTGCTGGAAGGTAAAATAAGGAGAACTCTTCAAGACCATGGTATAGACAAAAACTTTATGAACCAAATCCCAGTTGCACAAGAACTATCACAAACTGCCAACACCTGGGATCTCATCTCAGTAAATCGCTTTTGCACAGCAAAAGAAATCACCAGTAGGGTGAAGAGAGGACTCACAGTATGGGAAAAAAATGTTGTCACCTGTTCCTCAGACAAACGGCTAACATCTAGAATATATAAAGAACTTTAAAAACTCAGACCAATCGTTTTTTCTTTCCTGAGACAGGGTTTCACTGTGTAGCCCAGGCCGGCCTCACACTCTCAAGATCCTCCTGGCTCGCCCTCCCGAGTGCTGAGGTCACAGGCCTGCACCACCACACCCAGCACAGCCCTCAGATTTAAACACCCAGTCCAAAAATGGGCATCTGAGATGAATATGCACTTCTCGGGTGAAGAGGTACAAACGACAAATAAATACATGAAAAAATGTTCAGCATCACTGGTCATTCGGAAGATGCAACTTAAAACACTGCTGGGGACTAAGGAACCCCACGCTGCCCTGGGACCTTGGGCCGCGCCACCACGCACTTCCTGCACAACTCCCACCAGCCTGGGGAAATGCTGCACCTATTGCCTTTGCCCTCAGCGACCCTCCCCATCACCTAGACCAAGTACTCGATCTTCGGCTCCCATTCCTCCTCCCAGAACCTTAACCTGCAGTGGATCAACCATGCTGAGTTGAAGGGAGACTCAGCAGACCTCAGCAGGAATGCCCCTAAAACAGAGGTGTACAGTGGGTAAATAGGCCAGTAGTAAAGCTCCCTCCAACTAACTGTAAGACCTTGGTGACAAGGACCTGACAAGAGTGTGGGTGACTCTTTCCTGCACACAGAAAACATCAGGCAGAGTGAGGAGTGTGCCAATAAGGATGCCCCCAACTTGGAGAAAGTCTAAGGGGCTTATGAGACACACAGACACACAATAGGGACACAGTAGGTCCTCAGCTGACACAAATACTATAAACAGGGAGATTTTGTGACCTGGAATAACCAGCAGACAAAGTAATAGCAGGAACTAAAAGTTGACCTACATCAATACTACTAGGCTTGTCAGCTCAGGAAGAATATAGGACTCACTCAACAGGCCCTGCAGTGGGAAGTCAGATGCCTGGCCCATCTCTTCATTGGGGAACCCAGCCATTAGATAAAGATCAGCCTTACACAAGGACCCCAAGATATACACTACCAGTAGTTGACACTAGTGGGAAAATATTAACTCAAAAGGGAAATACGGCAAAACTAAAAAGCAATCTCAAACATCTAGTCCACCAGGAGCAAGTACAGGAGACACTGAAATAGAGGACTTCAAAAGTAACACACCGTAAATCTCTGAAAGGATAGCCAGTGAAATAAAAAAACAACTCCATGAGGCTATAGAGGAAATCAAATTAGAAGTATTCTCCCATGTAAAGATAGAAATAACAACCTTAGTAAAGGAGTTGCTGGGGCTGGGGATTTAGCTCAGTGGCATAAGTGCCTGCCTTGCAAGCAGGCAGTTGTGAGTTCGATCCCCCGTACCGATAAAAAGGAAAAAGATCCCCCCCCCCAAAAAAAAGGAGTTGCTAAGCACAGCTAAAGAAGAGAAAAAAGTACAGGACCATGGGAAATTGGTTGAAACCTTGAATGAACAATATAGAAAACAAGCAGAATCCATAAAACAGGATGAAAGGGTTGCTGACCCAGACCAGACACTGTAGCCAGAAAAAGCCTCAGCCGGAATTAGGGAGCTCCTGCCTCCCCTGCCCCTAGAGATTTACCTGTAACCATATACCACCACCCCCCTTCGGAACCTGCCCCGGCGCCAAATGTGTGCCAATGAAATACCTGTGCATCTCTAATGGCCTTAGGGCACTGCCCTAAGCTTAGGCTATTTATATTCCCCCATGCCACATGTTCGCGTGAGAGATCGCTAGATTCCAGCGGCCAGCAGGCCTGTCCTCTCTCCCTGTGTTCCCAGAATAAACGGCCTCTTCTGGTTTTGTTGTTGTTTTGTTTTGTTTTGTTTTGTTTTGTTTTTTTAGCAAAGGCCAGAAACTGGAGCCTCTTTTGTTTTATACTCCTCATGTTTTGGAAATATTTTTCATCTTCTGGAAATAATCCTATCAGAGGATAGGATTTTGGACCTTGAGGATGGATCACAATTAGCGATCATGAAAGCATACAACTTTTAAAAATAACAAAGCAGCATGAAATGACAGTCCAGCAGCTTCAAGATGATGCCAAGAGAAATAATATAATACTAATAGGAATCAGTGGAGATGCAGGAGTCAACACAAATGACACAGGTAAACTATTCAGAGAAATAATAGCAGAAAATTTCCCAAACATGGGGAAAAATCTGATATGCAGATAAATGAGGCATCCAGAACACCAAACAGTCACAACCAACAAAAATCTATATCCAGACATATAATAATTAAGATCCCAGACATGCAGCATAAAAACAGAATACTAAAACTGTTAGAGAAAAGACACAACTCATCTATCAAGGAAAGTTCATTAGAATCACAATAGACTTTTCAGCACAAACACTCAAGTCAAGACGAGCTAGGCGTGAGGTATTTCAGCCCTGAAAGAGAATAACTTTCAACACAGACTGATGTAGCCAGCAAAACTTTCATTCGAATTTAATGGAGAAATAAGATACTTCCATGACAAAGAACAACTGAAGAAATTCACATCCATCAAGCCAACCCTAGAAAGAATATTGAAAGACATACTAGATAGAGATAAAAATGACCATAATCCCCAGAACAACAACAGAAAGAAACCACCAGGTAGGACAAGCAATTAAACAAGGGAGGACAAGAAGAAAGCAAACAACTAACACTTAACATGGCAAAGTCGAGCCTGTACGTATCAGTTATATCCATAAATATAAATGGCCTTAATTCACCTATCCAAAGAAATAGGTTGACAGAATGAATCAAGAAACAGGATCTCACAATATGCTGTATACAAGAAACACATCTGACCCAAAAGGAATCTCACAGATTAAAAGTCAAAGGATGGAAAACAGTATTCCATGCAACAAGAATCCAGAAAAAAGCAGGAGTAACTATTCTATTTGCAGACAACGTGAACTTCAAACATAAAATGATTAACAGAGATAAGGTCACTACATATTCATTAGTGGAAAAATTCAAGAGGAAGAACTAACAATTATAAATATATATACACCAAATACAGGAGCACCCAACTATATAAGACAGATACTAATGGACATGAAAAACCATACAAAAGAACACAATTATAACAGGGGACCTTAACAGCCCATTGTCACAAAGAGATAGATCAATTAGACAAAAAGTCAGCAAAGAAATAATAGAACTGAATGATACCTGTGAGCAATTGGACTTAGCAGATGTTTACAGAGTGTTCCACCCAGCCACATCAGAATACACATTCTTCTCAGCATCGCATGGGACATTCTCCAAAACAGACCATATATTATCCTATAAAACATTCTTAAGTAATGCAAAGTTATTGAAATTATCCCATGCATAATATCAGGCCCTAGGGCACTGAAATTGGAAATTAATGGCAAAAGAAATTGCAAAACCTGCATAAATACATGGAAATTAAATGGCCACCTTTTGAACAACCAGTGGGCTACAGGTGAAATTAAAGGAGAAATAAAGCAATACCTGCAATTCATTGAAAATGCAGAAACAACATACTATAATCTGTGGAATGCAATGAAAACGGTCTTAAAAGGGAAATATACAGCAATAAATTGTCATATCAAGAAAACAGAACAAGCACAAATAAACAACCTAATGCTTCATCTCAAGCTTCTAGAAAAAGAAAAGCAAGTTAAACCCAAAGTTCATAGAAAAGAGGAAATTGTAAAGATTAGAGCAGAGGGGCTGGGGATTTAGCTCAGCGGCATAAGCTCCTGCCTTGCAAGCAGGCAGTCGTGAGTTCGACCCCCGGTACCGATAAAAAGCAAAAAGACAACAACAACAACAACAACAACAAAAAAAAAAAAAAAAGAGCAGAAATGCAACTGAAACTAAAAATAAATACAAAGAATTAATGAATCAAAAAGCTGGTTTTTTGAGAGAATAAAACTGACAAACCTCTAGCTAACCTTATAAAGAAAAAGAAAAAAAAAACCAAAATTCACACAATAAGGACTGAAAATGGGGAAATTACTACAGATCCCATGGAAATTCAAAAGATCATGAATACCTACTTTGAAAATCTCCACTCACATGGAGTGGAAAACAGAGGAAATGGACAGATTCCTAGAAACAACCAAGAAGATATAGTAATTTTGAATAACCCAGTATTAGCTATTGAAATTGAAAATGTGATTAAAAACTTACCAACAAAGAAAAGCCCAGGTCTTGATGGATTCATCGCTGAATTCTACAAGAAATTTAGAGAAGTATTTAATGCTGACAATCCTTAAACTCTTCAATGAAACTGAAAAGGAAACAATCCTCCCTAAATCATTCCTTATAGCAAAATCAGAGAAAGACCCAACCAAAAAGGAGAACTACAGGTCAGTCTCACTAATGGACAAGGATGCAAAGATTCTCAATAAAATACTGACAAACAAAATGCAGCAAATCACCAAGAAGATTACACACCATGACCAAGTGGGATTTATTCCAGGAATGCAGGGATGGCTTAACATACACAAATCAATAAATGTAACACACGACATCAACAGAGCCAAAAACAAATAGATGCAGAAAAAGCTTTCGATAAAGTCCAACACATGTTCATGATAAAAACCCTTCAAAAACTTGGAATGCACAGTGTCTAACTCAATTTTATAAAAGCCATCTATGACAACCCAACAGCCGACATTATACTAAATGGACAAAAACTGAAAGCTTTCACTTTAAAATCAGGAACAAGACAAGGATGTCCACTATCACCACTCCTATTTGATATAGTACTGGAATTACTAGCCAGGGCAATCAGACAAGAAAGAGAAATAAAAGGAATAAAGACAGGAAAGGAAGAAGTTAAACTATCACTATTTGCAGATGACATAATACTCTATATAGAAGACCCAAAAAACTCCATTAAAAGACTACTAGAGGTAATAAAGAAATTCAGCAGTGTAGCTGGATACAAAGTCAATGCTCAAAAATCAATAGCATTCCTGAACACAAACAAAAAACTCATCCAAAGAGAAATTATGGAAATAGAGCCCTTCACAGTAGCATCTAAAAAAATGAAATACTTAAAAATTAACGTAAGAATGTAAAAGATCTATATGCTGAAAATTATGCTACGCTAAAAAAGGAGATTGAAAAGGGTATTAGAAACTAGAAGGATATTCTTTGATCTTGGTTAGGAAGAACCAACACTGTGAAAATGGCCATACTCCCAAAACGGCTATACAGATTTAATGCCATCCCAATCAAAATACCATTAACATATCTCACAGATCTAGAGAAAACATTCCTAAAATTCATTTGGAAACAGAAGAAACCTAGAATAGCAGAGGCAATTCTGGGCAACAAAGGCAAGACAGGAGGCATCTCAATTCCTGACTTGAAACTATACTACAAAGCCACAGTGATAAAATCAGCATGTACTGGCAAAGAAATAGACCTGAGAATCAATGGAACAGATCAGAAGATGCCAACCCAACCACAAAGATACTCAGCCACCTGATATTTGAAAAAGGAGCTAAACATGTTCACTGAAAGTAGGATGGCCTCTTTAATAAATGGTTTTGGAAAAATTGGCTCTCCACATGCCAAAGACTGAAACTAGATCTATGCTATCACCATGTACAAAACTAAAGTCTAAATGGATCAAAGACCTAAATATCAAAACATAAACACTAAATCTACTTGAAAACAAGGTAGGCAGAAGTCTTGGAGACATAGGGGTAGGCAGAAAATTTATGAACAAAACGCAAACTGCATGGGAAACACTTCAAAGAATCAACAACTGAGATCTCGTATTTAAAAGTTTATGCACTTCAAAAGAAATCACCAACAGAGTGAAAAGAAAACCCACAGAATGGGAAAAAATTTTAGCCAGCAATCCCTCAGATAAAGGACTTATACTCAGAACATATAAAGAATTGAAAAACATCAAGCCCCCCAAATTCAAAGACCATCTCCAAAAATGGGCATCTGGGATGAACACAAATTCTCAGATGAAGAAATACAAATGACAAATAAATACATGAAGAAATGTTCACCGTCACTGGTCATTCGAGAAATGCAAAGTAAAACAGCATTGAGATTTCATCTCACTCGGGAAAGAATAGCTCCCATCAAGAAATCAACTGATAACGAATGTTCGTGAGGCTGTGTGGAAAAAAGAACACTGCTCCACTGTTGCTGGGAGAGCAGACTGGTGCAGCCACTATGGAAATCAGTATGGAGACTTCTCAGAAGACTAGGATTAGAAGTTCTATTCAATCCAGCTATTCCCCTTCTGGGTATTTTCCCAGAAAAACTGAAAAGGTCATGTCACAGTGATGTATGTGCACCCGTGTTCATAGCAGCACAATTTGTAAGAGCTAAATCTTCGAAACAACCAAGATTTCTATCAACTGCAGAGTAAATGAAAAAGATGTGACATACAATGGAAATTACACATTGGAATATTACCCAGCTATAAAAAAGGATGATCTTGAGGCCTTCATAGGCAAATGGAGACAATTTGAGGCTATCTTCATTAGTGAAATAAGTAAGAATCATATTTATAAATATCATTGTGTCTCTAGTGTAAAAAGAAGTAAGAACTGTAAGAGTAATAAAACCAAAGAGAAGAAAGTGTTCTAAAGGATATAACTGCATGTATGTTTAAGTGTATAGGACTGATAACCATATTACCAAGTTTTTGTTGGATCATTGAACAGAACTGTTTGCAGTCTCGCTGTCTGAATGTCCACTTTATATGCTGTACTATTGTAACTGGAACAACTATTTCTAACAGGACAATATATAATTTATCAACTAGTGATTTCTTACTGTTTATTTTTTGAAATTATGTATTATTTCTACCCTTTTTCTCTTTAAATAAAATTGTAAATGTTTAAGAAAAAAACACTGCTGGGATTCCATCTCACTCCAGAAAGAATTGCTATCCATAAATCAACCAATAAAAAATGCTGGGGAGGCTGTGGGGAAAAAGGAAGTCTTCTCCACCGTTGGAGGGAGTGCAGACTGGTGCAACCACTGTGGAGGTCAGTGTGGAGACTCCTCAAAAAACTAGGACTAGGGTTCTCATTCGATTCAGCTATCGTCTTCTGGGTACCTTCCCAAGAAAATTAAAAACCCACACCACAGTGATACATGTGTACACATGTTTATAACTGCACAATCTGTAACAGCTAGATCTTAGAAACAAACTAAATGCCCATCAACTAAGGAATGGATTTAAAAAATGTGGTATTTTTATACAATGGAGTATTACTCAGCCATTAAGAACTATAAATTTGAAACTTGTATAGGAAAATGGATAGAACTTGAGGCCACACTCATAAGTGAAAAAATCAGTCACACATGTGTAAACATTGTATTGTCTCACTAGTATGTGAAGCAGAATGAAACAACATATATAAGATAAGTTATACTACTTATTTCTCTGAGTTCACTGAAGAGAAACATTTGTGCTAGCATTGTCAGGACAATTCAATGCAGATGTCTTGTGCTCTGGGTGAATGATTTGGGGATGACAATACAGTGTGTGTAACATTGTTGCTCCTTGATTGATGTGTTCGGAAATTTTCTTTTGAGCCAGGCATGGTGGCACACACCTGTAATCCCAGCATTTGGGAGGCTGAGGCAGGAGGATCACTGTGGGTTCAAGACCAGCCTGGGCTGCACAATGAGCTCAAGACCAGCCTGAACTGCATAGAGAGACCTGTCTCAAAAAGACACACACAGCCGGACATGATGGCTCAGGCCTATAATCCCAGCACTCGAGAGGCTGAGGCAAGAAGATCACTGCGAGTTCGAGACCAGCCTGGGCTACAAAGTGAGCCCAAGACTAGCCTGAACTGCACATTGAGACCCTGTCTCAAAAAGGAAAAAAAAAAAAAAAAAAACTCACAAAAACATTTTTTTCTCTTTGAAAAACAATGATTTGAAAAAAATTTTAAACATTAGGACTAGAGGTCCCATTTGATCTAGCTATTCCCCTTCTGGGTATCTTCCCAGAAGAGTTAAAATATCATACCACAATGATACACACACACTCATTTTTACACCAGTATAGTTTGTAATAGCTAAATCTTGGAAACTACTCAAATGTCCATCAAGTTAAAAATAAATAAAAAGATGTTATCTTATACAAGAGTACTACTGAACTATAAAGAATGATAAACTTGAGACATACATAGGTAAATTGATGGACCTTAAGACCATACTCTTTAAGTGAAATAAAACAGACACACATCTGTAAATATAGCACTGTTACTCTGATATGAGAAGCTGACAGTGTAAATAAGGACCGAACGGTGTAACTAATCCTGCAAAATAGGAAGACATTGTTCAAAGGGGAACCAGGCTGAGGAAAGGGAGAAAGGAAGGAAGGACAAAGAAAAACTAAGGTTAAAACGGAAACAAAGCTTTTGTAAAGAGGGGAAGAGGTGCTGAAAGGAGGGGAGGAAAATGGGAAAAGGAAGCGAGATGTATCATGTAAAGGTACAAACGCCCTGTGATAAATGTTATCATTATGTGTATCTAAAGCGTGCCAATAAAAAAATACACAATATCAGAACAGTGGGAAGTTTTCCATGTCTAATCCCTGGAATCCCATTTAAAAGCATGTAAAACAAAAGCATAGATCGGAGAGGGGCAGGCTGTAGCTCAGCACACAAGCACCTGCTTGGCAAGGGCAAGGTCCTGGGTTTCATTCCCAGTACCACCCTCCCCCAAAAAAGAACAGATCTGAGAAACTAGTATACGTGCCCAGCAGCAGAAAAACGTGCAGATTTCTAAGAAATAAAATACGGGCTGGGGGTGTAGCTCAGTGGTAGAGGAGTTGCAGGCCCTGGGTTCCATCCTAGCTGTACCTCCACAAAAAAACAAAAAAAAAAAAAAAGAAAGAAAGAAAGAAAGAAAAGAGGAAGGCCAGTAACAGAGGCTGAGGCAGGAAGATAACCAGCTCAAGGCCAGCTGGGGCAATTTAGGAAGACCTTCTTTCAAAATAAAAACTAAACCAGGAATGATGGCCCATGCTGGTAATCCAGCCTTGGAAGGCTGAGGCAGAAGGTCATCAAATGTTTGAGGCCACCCTGGCCTACAACGGGAGACCTTGTCTCGAAAAACGGAAATAAAGAATCAGTTTTTAAAAATAATAAAAGAGGCTGGGGCTATAATTCAGTTCAGTTCCCATACCATAGAAGCAAGCAGAATGTAAGCCAGGACTACTTATTTTGTCCTTGAAATTCATATCCTTCTTGACTCCAGGGAAATATTTCGTATTTCTCTTTCACAGGACTCAGACCAGTGAGGCAGGAGAATGGCGAGTTCAGTGAGACTCAAAACCAAACCCTACTTGTAGCAGAAAATATCCTCCCTGCCCCAGCCAGTAGACTTCAGTCTCTTAGTTGCCCAGGTACAGCTCCTGTTCCTGTTCCGGTTCCGGTTGCTTCTGTCTCTTGGAAACAACCGGTCGCTATGAGGCGCATTGTATAAGCCAATCAATCTCCAGTTTGCAAGCCATCCTGTCTCTGTACTTCCTGCCGGAATATCCCATACAAGCCCTAGACGGCCAGGGATCAGAGCCTGACATTTTGGGTATGACCCCTAATAGTGCCCATCACCATAAAATAAATCTGCCTCCAAATCCTGGGTGTCACTGCAGTGTCTCTGCTTGCAGTTGTATACTGATTAAATACAACTTACTTTTACTGAAAAATTGAGGCTCAGCGAATAAAACCTTTCGAGGTAACCCACCCAGGCAAGTAAGGCGCTGACCTGCAGCTATGCATAATGGACAGGTCCCTCAGACAAGTTCCCAAAGAACTTCAATCTCAAGGAGTTTCTTAGTGTGCGTTTTGGAGAAGATGATTCAAAGTGGTTATTATCTGCTCTCCTCTAACATAAAATACTAACAAACCTAAACAATCAGTCTTTTAAATACAGCCACCCAGGGCCCTGTGAAAAAATAATTTAAATACTCCCTGCGTTAAAAACGTTGAAAACCGGGCGTTGTGGTACAGGCCTGTGATCCTAGCATTTTGGGAAGATCACAAATTCAAGCCTAGCCTACGCAACTTAGCATGACCCAGTGGCAAAATAAAATAGAAAAGACCAGGGGAAGGGTCTGCGGATGTAGCTCAGTGCAGAGGCCCTGGGTTCAATTCCTAGAACCTCAATCAATCAATTTAGAATTAAGGGCAAATAGTTGATCTCAACGCTGCGAACTGGTGAGGGGAAGTTGCCCCAGCTGCTCCCGCGCACGAACCCCACACCCGAGTCAATGTCCCCGGTGTCCCTCCCGCGGATCCCGCGGTCCCCGCTGCCGACCCAGTCCCGATCCCGCGCCTGGAGGACACCGAGGACCGAGCGGCGGCCCCGGCTCCCCTTAGGGCCACTTCCGGCCGGCTCCACCAGGCCCTGCACCCAGGCTCCCGCGCACTCACCATCTCTGGCTTCTGGGTGTCCTGGCGTCCTCTCTACGCTCTCACGGTCACTGCGGACCCCGCAGGGACAAGGGCTGCGATACACAGACCTGAGGCAGCGCCGGACCTGAGAGAGCCAATGACAGCGCTGCCGGAAGCACCAGCGAGGGCACCGGGCGTTGCGTAGCGACTGCCCACCCCTTTGCGAAGGCGCGGCTGATTGGCTAGTCATTACGGCCCCGCCCCTCCGCCCTGAGTGACAGCGTTGCTGAGTATCACGGGGCCCCGCCCACTCGAATTCACAGGCTGACTTGGTCAAACTGGGTTTGTTTGTGTTTTTCTGGCCCCTCCTCCCCGCCCCGCTTAGTGCTGGGGCTGGAATCCAGGGCTTCAAGGTAAACGAACACTACCCATGAACTGCACCCTAGTCCCACATTTGCGTTTAAGAACTTGGTTCTAGATCAGAAAAAAAACTGGTACAGGTCTTGTAAAGAAATGGTTAGGAGCCGGGCGTGGTACCCACGCCTGCAAGGCCAGCACTCTTGTGGGAGGCTGAGGCAGGAGAATCCCAAATTCATACCCAGCCGGGGTAATTTAGTGACTTAGCTAGACCCTGTCTCAAAATCTTAAAAAGAAGGGGACATAGGAATATAGATCAGTGCAAAAGGGCTTGGGTTCAATCCCGAGTGTCAATAAATAAGTAGCTGGGGATGTAGCTCAGTATAAAGGCTCTGCATTAGATCTCCAGTTTCAATAATAATAACAATAATAATAAATTTAAAAGGGCTGAAAATGTGGCTCATTTTCAGGAAAGCCCCTGAGTTCATCGCCAGTACTGAAATAATATTAATCAGCTGGACATTATACAGGAGAAAAGAACTTAAAAATGAAAAAGGCTAAATTATCTCAAAAGTGATTGAATTCATAGCTTCACTGATAGGTAACACTTTACACGCTGCACTTCTCACGTGGCCGTGCTCTAGACTTGGCCTTTTCCGTCGTGAGCTGGGCAGGGGCACAAAAATGAGTCAAGGCATCTGCAACCTCCACTGAGGTCCCGCGTACCCACAGCTTGGCAATGCCACTAGCACTCCTGATCCTGGGGACAGGTGCTGCTGAGGGAGAGAGAAGGGCCCAGAGCTCAGGCCAAGGGTTTCCCAGCACCCCAAGAGAACTGCCCGGCCAGGGAAATACCCAACCTGCACCAGGGTGCCAGTGTGTGGGTCCCGCCCCCAGAGCCCTGCGCCTGCGCACTCAGCAAGGTCTCCGCCCTGCTTGCAGCCGTCTGGAAATATTTTTTGGCAGTGCATAGGCCTGAAGCCAAGGCCTTGTGCGTGCTGTGGGCCTGCTCAACGACACCTACCCCCGGAAATAGTCTTTAACATTTATCCAAGGATGGCGATAACTGACCAACAATGACAGCTTCACCCGCAGGGGCCCTGACTCTGTACGCGCTGCGGTCCCTCTTACCTCACTCATCTTCCTCAAGTTCCTTTTTTTGTTTGCTTGCTTGTTTGTTTTTGTTTTTTGAGACAGGGTCTCGATATGCAGTTCAGGCTGGCCTTGAGCTCACTTTATAGCCCAGGCTGGTCTCGAACTCGCAACGATCCTCCCACCTCAGCCTCCCCAGTGCTGGGATTACAGGCGTGAGTCACCACTCCCGGCTCAATCCTTTTCTTTTGAAACACGGTCTCACTATGTAGTTCAGGCTGGCCTTGAACTCACTATGAAGCCCAGCCTGGCCTCAAATTGGGCCATCTTCCTGCGTCCCAAGTATCTCCAACAACAGAGGCATATGTCACTGTAATAAATTATGATGTGCATGGAATTATGTACTAGTAATGTCCTATAATGGAATAAAATGAGAAAAGCAAACATTTAGCTGGGCTTAATGGCTCACAACTGTAATCCCAGCTCCTCAGGAGGCTGAGGCAGGAGGACTGCAAGTCTTAACTGCAGCCTAGGTAATTTAGTGAAACCACATCTCAAAATTTAAAAGAAAACATTTGAACTAGCTCAGATAAGTGTGTGTTGCTTCACACATAATTCAAAGGGAAACTGGCATTCAGAAAGTTAACATAAATTGGGCATGGTGGGTGCATGCCTGTGACCTTAGCACTTTAGGAGGCTGAGACAGGAGGTTAAGTTTGAGCCCAGCTTAGGCAAATTAGTGTTTTGCAAGACCCTGTTTTAAAACAAAATTTAAAGCTGGGCATGGTGGAGTATACCTGTAATCCCAGCACTCAGGAGGCCGAGGCAGGAGGATCATTGCAAGTTCAAGACCAGTGTGGGCTACACAGTGAGCTCACGATCAGCCTGAACTGTATAACGAGACCGTGTCTCAAATAAAAATAAAAAATCTTAAAAGGGCTGGGGCTATAGATTAGTGCAAAGACCCTGAGTTCAAATCCAGGCACCAAAAAAAAAGTTAACATATTCAAAGCTTGGGAGCTAAACTATTAAAGTGGAGGCCTGGGGTAGATCAACCCCCATCATTGAGGCAGACACCTCGGACATAACTGAGGTTCTGGTGTCTAAGCCCTGCTGTCCTCTCAGAGTGCAGAAGTGCTCCTGCTTGATACTTCCACCACGAGGGAGCTATAACCTTCAGTATAAGGTGGTGTACATACAGACAGTGCTCGTTTAACACCCGAGCTATGGTCCTGTACCTCGGTTGTTCAATCAGCTAAATGAGGAATTGTATACAGTATGAACATTATAACATTCAGAACAAAGAAACGGTCAAAGGAAACTCCAACCTGAGGACTTTACATTTATTTGCGTAACTTTTACATGCAGCCCTACAATGTGAAACAAAACTAGTGTGGTACTGTACAGTACAACTGGGAAAAATCACAGCACCGTACTGCAGAAGCCACCCTACAACCACACTGCTGCTCACATTACTGCGTCATTAAGTCCGACCAGCTGGCACAGTCTGCACAGTGCTCTTGGCTGTATTAACTGTCATTAAACGGGGAATATCTGTAACTAGACAAAAATAGTTTTTCTCCTTTCTTTCAGTGCTGGGGATTGAGCCTAGGGCCTCGCACATGCTAGGCAAGTGCTCTGAGCTACATCCCTACAATTCTATAACCTTTTTTTGTTTGTTATTGTTTTTTGAGACAAGACCTTGCTCTGTAGTTGAGGCTGGCCTTGAACTCTGAGTAATCCTCCTGCCTCAGCCTCCTGAGTGCTGGAATGACAAGTGTGCACCACTGCAGCTGGCTCTTTTTTTTTTTAATTTAAAAATAACTCAAACTTCTCATTACAAAAACTGACACACAAGGCAGGCTTACACAGGGTCAGGGTCATTGACATCACTACTATCCTCCCCATTGCGTCCCATGGCAAGGTCCTTGGGGCTGATGACACGCATGGTGCCATCATCAGCGATGACGAGAATGCCACTTTTTGGGATAGGTCCTGAGGAACCTGCCTGGAGCTCACCCAGAGGAATCACTCCATTCAGAACTCTGTCCCTGCTTTTCTGTTTCCTTTTGGCATCATAAATTTGCTCATAAGCAGACAGCGCACCCCGGACACCCCTCTCAACTGATGAGAACCTCTCAGGGTTGGGATCCATGCTCTGAAACTTCTTAAGGAGCCGGTTGAGGTCTGAGAAGGCCTCCGCTAGGCCCGTCACCGTGAACCTTCTTGGTGCTGTTTCTCTGTCCTCCCCTTTGCTTTTCATTTCTCTGGCCTCTTCTTTGACCTTGTACCCCTGTCCCAGCAACTCCTCATGGGCCAGTTCTTTGGGTGCCATCTCCATCAGTTCCTCGCTGGTGTCCTCATCTGCAGCCAGGGGAAAGCTGCTAGTTACCACCTCAGCCATAGCCTTGTTCACCTGCGCCACCTCCTCTTCCTCTGCCTCCAGCCCTCTGAAGTCATGCACGAACCTTCGCAGTGTTTTCTTCCAGGTGCTGGGCATACGTTCTTTCGAGACATTGGCGCCCACTTTGGTGTCCTGTAGCGAGTAGCGGTTCTTGAATCGTTTCAACCACCCAGAGCTGGCGCTGAATTCCACGTTGTAGCCTGGCCCAGCCTTTTCCTTCAGCATCGCGAACAGACTCTTTGCTTTAGCTGTGATCATCATGGTGCTGAGGTGGACGCGCTGCCGTGTCTGATCCTCGATCCAGGTCATCAGCAGCTTCTCCATGTCCGATATGGGGCCCTCACGGATCTTTGTCAGCCTTGTGGCCTTCAGGGAGGCAGAGCCTCTCAGGGCTTCTGTCACCTTCTTCCTGTTCTTCAAAATGGTAGCGATGGTGGAATGCGACATGCCTGACTGGCGGGCGATGACCATCACTGGTTTCCCGCCTTCATAGTCCTGAATCAGTTTTAATTTTGTTTCCAGGTCAATCACCCGACGGGGCCGCTTACTGGTCACCTTAGCGGTGGCTTTAGTGCAGGGAGGGGTCATGATGAACCACAGAACCCTAGCTGCAATGGCCACCGTCCTGCACTCAGTCTGTCATTTCTTAGGGCATCATGTCATGACACAGGATGGTAGAAAGTAATTTGCATCCATTTGGAAGTTCTCTGTTAACACTAGAGGGGAAAAAAAATAAGATAAATCCAATGTTGGCAGATTACAAAAATATATTAATGGCACCAGGTATGGTGGTGTACACCTGTCATCCCAGCACTCAAGAGGCTTGCAGGAGGATTGATGCAACTTTGAGGCCAGCCTGAGCTACAAAGCAATATCTGTCTTTAAAAAAAAAAAATGCAAACAAAAGAGAGGCACAAAGATTTCTTCAAGTCGAGTCTTGGTAGTCATCCTCAAACTCAATTCACTGCTTTATGAAAACATTATGAAGGAAACACTGCATCTGTCTGAAAGGCACAACAAACACCAAACAGTTGTTCAGGTTGTGCACTGGAGGTGGAGAGTAGTCACTGGGGGTAAGGGGTGCAAGCCTAAGGATTTACTGCCAGCCCTAGGAAGGGTGAGGCTAGAGTGGACAGAGATGTGGATTTGCTATTTGTTTCTGAGACAGGGTTTCCCTATGAACTTCAGGGTGATCTTGAACTCACAGCCTCTTCCTGCTTCAGCCTCCTGAGTGCTGTGTGCGCCGCCAAGGCTGGCTTAGAGATGTGGTTGTGAGACGCTGCCTTCTAGGCATCTAAAAGATGCAAAAGAAATGGGTGACCCTTGGGGACCCCAGGAACCCCACCCCCGAGTCTGGCCTCCCGTGTGTCCCGCCGTCCCTGCACAGAGGGCTCCAGGGCGGGCTGTGTCGCCGCTCAGAGGCGCACAGGACCCGGTCGTGGGTCACGGCTGCCGACCCCGCCCCGCCCGAGGCGGAGGGGACCCAGGGCCGAGTCGCGTCCCGGATTTCAGAACAGACTCGGGGAGCGCGAGTCCCGTCAGAACCACTTCCGGCCGGCTCCATCCAGACCCTGCGCCCTCACCGTTTCCTGATTGCGGTGTCCGTGTGTCCGCGTGTCGGGGGTCCGGTGTCCTCCTCAACTGTCCTGAGCCCGAGGAGCTCACCGAGCTACAATGGCGGGCCGGACCAGCCCCGCCCACTGCTAGCAGCGACGCGAAACCTCCAGAAGACTGTGGAAAACTAAAATCCCGCGAGAACGCTGGGCAGGCGCCTGATTGGATGAGCGTCAGGCCCCGCCTTGAGCCCCGATTGGATACTCTGAGGCTCCGCCCACTGGATCTTGAAAACCAGGAGCTCCAATTAACCAGAGGTTACGCGGATCAGCCAAGACAGGTTCAGGGTTGTAGTTTTCCCTAGTAGAGCGTCCCCTCCGCCCCTGCACCACCTAGGCGGATATGTGCATTCAGAAATATTTACTCTTGGCTTTCCAGAGCAGAAACTGACATCTTTCTGTAACTATAGGTCCTTCCTGCTTTTCTTGCTGGATGCGGGGTCACAGGGTGCTCAGGGATTTCCATATTAAGAGCCCAGTGAAGCAATCGCGTAGAATAGAGTCAGGGCCAGGCCATACGGAGCCAAGAGGAAGAACTTAGTGTCCTGCAGAGTTAGGGTTTTGGTGCGAAAGAGGGTCTTGAACTCCTAGCAATCTTCCTGCCTCAGCCTCCTGGGTGCTGGGATTACAGGTGTGCACCACCACTCCGTACAATATTCAATCAAGTACTCTAAAAGGGAGAAAAGCAAACTTCTCAACTGTTTGACATAAGCAGCCACTTCACCCATAGTTCACTAGGAAACCGCACATTCATTGGATGCACGCTATCTCATCTTGGGGGCCAGACTGACTGCTGAAGTGGAGCCCACAAACTCCATCCTTGGTCCTGAGGCAGAGACGCCCAAAGATTTAATTCCAAGAGCTCACCCTGTCCCGCCTTCCCTTCCTCACCTTGAGGAAACACTCCTCCCTCCAACAACTTGCTATTCCTCAGGGGGGCGCTCTCACCTGGAGTCGCATTAAGGTTCCGATCCAAAGAAACTCAGATTCATGGCAGGCGTGGAGGCTCACACCTGTCATCCCAGCACTCTAGGGAGGCTGAACAGAAGGATCTCAAATTCAAGCCCAGTTTGGTCAACTTAGCAAGACCCTATCTCAAAAAATACAAAGAGACTGAGATGTAGTTCAGTATGAAGGGCTTTGGGTTCCATCCCAATGCTGGGGGTGGAGGTGTGCAGAGAGCCTCAGAAAGGCCAGAACCCCTTCCCAACCCCATCTGCTCTGCTCACAGTCCTGCTTTCCAGGGCTGCGGTGAAGCTTTCAGCCACTCTTCTTGCGGAGCCCGGGGGCCCCCTAAGGGGTGGGCGGATGCCCCCGAAGCGCAAGCGCAAGGATCCGCCCTTGCGCTCCCTTTGCAGGCTTAGCCTGGGTCCCGTTAAGGAATCTTGGCCTCGTGCTCCGCCCCTCCGCAAGCTGTTCACCTGCCCAACACACCAGGTGATGGCGTAAGTGAGATGGAGATCTTTGATCTTATTATTGGGATCTGAACCGGCAAATGCTCTGCTTTCCTCTTGGGTTTGTGTATGTGTAAGCAAAAATTCTGCAAGTCTTATTAAATTTTTTAAAAACTGGCAAATAATTATTCCTTTGGAAAAAAGCAAAGCTAACTACGTATTACTAGCCGGGCATGGTTGGTGCACATCTGTAATCCCATGGGCATTTCTGCATGTACTGTGATGGCGAACCTTCTAGAGCTTTTAATGACAACGAATAGCTCGCTGCAGCGCGCGTGCCATGATTCGCCACCTCTGGAAGCGGTGCATAATGAGCGCCCCCCCCCCGTCCTGGGTATTAAACTGGGGGTTCGCTACCCCTGAGCTGCATCCTTGACCCTTTTCTTCTTGTTATCGCGAATGTTTGGTTTGTGTTTGTGTTTGTGTTTGTTCTGCTTTGGTTTTGAGACCGTTTTCCAAGGCCCCCCGGGCTGGCGATCCTGCCTCAGCCTCTGGAGTAGCTGGGATTGCGGCAGGGTCCGCTCCTCCTTTTTAAGCAATCTAACTGGCCCTTGGTTGAAGCCTCCGACGACTCTCTGAAATTCCCCTGTTTAAATTACGTATTTGAAACTGTCTTGCACGCTGGACGGTGCTGCTTTGGGTGAGGACCACATCGCCTTTGTTTTTCCGTTTGTTGTATTTTCCGTTTTCCCAAACCGCCACCTTCTCGCTGAGGACACGCAGAAAATCATCCTGCATTGACCATCAACGCGTCGCCTGCTGTGAAGGAGAAACGGCTGTTGATGTCGTCTTCACCACAAGAGGGCGCCAGCTGCCTTCCCTTTGCGAAAACAGCGCAAAGGCTCTTTTTGGAGTTTTCCCCCGCGGGTGGTTTGGTTTTGTTTTGTTTTGTTGTTGAGTCAGGTCTCCATGAACAGCCCGGAATGGCCTTGAATTTACACCATTCTTCTTGCCTCAGCCTCCTGATGCTAGGATGACAAGTGGATGCCACCGTATTTTTTGTGAAGGTTTTTGGGAGCTGTTTTTTAGTTTTGTTTTGTTTGGGGTTGTTTTTTGTTTTGTTTTTTTTCAGCTGTACTGGAAATTGAACCAGGGTCTTGCAGGTGCTAGGCCAGCACTGTGCCACAGGGCTACGAACATTAAAACTGTTTTGTTGTGAGTCTGGGTCTCTTTAGGTTGTCCAGGCTGGACTGGAGCACTCGGGAGGCTGAGGCAGTAAGAGATGCAGGAGTTCAAGGCCAGCCTGGGCCACATTCCAAGACTTTATCTCAAAAACGGAAAGAAAAGAAAAGGACGGGAGATGGGCCTTCGGGAGGTAATTAGGTCGGGGCAGCACTGCCTGGGAAGCGATGGACGCTGCTCCTACTCTGATTCAGTTCTTGTGAAAGTGACTGCGCCAGAGGTCGGTGCAAAGGGAGGAGAGAACGCGCGCGCATGCGCATGCACCCACGCGCACGCACGCGTGGACACACGCCCGGCCTCTTCAGTTTCCTTTCCAGTTCTCTGTTCTTTTTTTTTTTTTTTTCTTTTTCGTTTTGAGACAGGGTCCTGCTCTGCGGTCCAGACTGACCTTGAGCTCACCTTGCAGCCCAGGCTGGCCGCAGACTTCCTGCCTCAGCCTCCCGAGGGTCGGGATGACAGGCGTGCGCCCCCGCGGCTGGCTCAGTCCTGCGCTCTGCAGCCGGGTGGCGACCCCAGCGGGAGCTGGCACCGCACCCCCACTGCCCTGGGGCCCTGGTGGTGCCACTTCTCCTTTCCGTGCTCTGCCCTGGGAACAGGGGTACCAGGCAAGGCGCCCCGTGACTCAGACCCCTGCTGGCCGGAGCCTGTGAGTCAGCGGGAGAGCTGGCCGAGAGGCCGAGGCTGGAGCCTGGACCGGGCACTGGGCTGCACACGCAGGTCCGGGTTACTCAGGGGGCTGAGGCAGGAGAATCACTGAGTAGGAGTTCGGGGCCAGCTTGGGCATCAGCATGGGTGATTTTCTGTCTTCAGTGTGTCTGCGGAGAATCAAGGATGATTCTAGTTTCTGTTTGTTTGTTTGTTGACAATCCTGGGGAATCAAGCCCAGGGCTTTTGCATTGCACTAAACCCTTTTTATTTCACATTTTAAAACAGTGCCTTGCGAATTCTCCCGGGTGGGTTCAAACTTGGCGTCCTCCTGCCTCAGCCTCCCCACCGTGCTGGAATGGCAGGCCTGTTCCATTGCTTGCTGTCTTTCTCTTTTCTTTCTTTCGTTCCTCCCTTGACCTTTGAGAGAGATGTCCTACAGACTCGCTGGGCTGCCTGGGCTGGCCCCCAACTCCTAGTCTCAAGTGACCCTCCTGCCTCAGTTTACGAAGGACCTGGGACTATGTCACTGCTGTCCCATGGGACGTGAACATATGCTAGAAGCAACACCCATTTGGCACTTAGGCAACACAGCTTTGCCTGATTTTAACATTCACACTCCCTGTTCCACAAAGTAGCAAATGGGGCTGAGCTGGGGCCGCACGCCTGTCATCCCAGTTCTTGGGAGGCTGAGGCAGGAGGATCCCAAGTTCAAGCCCAGTCTGGAGAATTTAGCAAGAGCCTGTCTCAAAAAAAAATTTTTTTAAAGCGCTCACTTTGGCAGTGTATATATTACAAATAAAAATGTAAAATACAAAGGGCTGGGGTCATAGCTTAGTGCAAAGGCCCTGGGTTCGATCCACAGTGTTGCCAAAAACTAAAGCGTTCGTGGGCTGTGGGGGTAAACCACTGGCAGAGGGCGTGGGTGGTGTGCACAAAGCCCTGGTTCCATGCCCAGCACCACCAAAAAGAAAGAAAGGAAGAGAAAAAGAAGATCAGTCGCGGAGTAAATCCTGTTTATCCAGAAATGTCAGCGCAGGGAGGCCACTCCTGAAGGAGGCCATTAAACACAGCCTTGTCAGAGGCCTGAGGAGTAACCCGGAGGATCCTGGCGGCCTCGTGGGCAGCTGGTTCTTGGTTCTGCACAACTTCGGATCTCTGAAGTCACAGAAAGACCTAACCACTGGCCCATGGGCGGATGGGTGCTGCTTCAGGTTCAAAATATAGAGACCCTAAGTGCAAAGGCCACCTAGGTGGCCGCCAGGTCCGCTGCAGGTCTGAAGGTGCAATGGGTTTGTGCTTTTGCCAAAACTATCAAACCATAGTCTGCTGTGGTGGCGCACACCTGTACATCCAGCTCTGGGGAAGCCGAAGCAGGAGGGTCTCCACGAGTTCAAGGCCAGCCTGGGCTACATAGCAAATCCCTCCCTTGAGACAAAAAGCCTCAAAGCAGGACAAGGAAAGGGGTGGGGTGCAGCTCAGGGCTTCCTGTGGGCGGGGGGGGATTTTTTTATTGGAAGAAAATTTTTTATGGAAGGAAAGAAAATTGGAAGGGACCCAGGGGGAGGAAGGAAGGGCCAGGGCACAGGGTGGGAGCCTGCAGGGCGGCCTGGGGGATTTTTTGTGTGTGTTCTACGATTCTTCCTGCTTGTTTTGTTTTGTTTTGTTTTTGGATCGTCTTTGAGTTTTGCTGGTGGGGATCAAAGCCGGATCTTTGCCATGAGTCTCATCTCCAGTCCACTTTTAATTTATTTTTCTTTAATTTTAAGGCAGGATCTTGCCCAGCTCGGGCTCTAACTTGAAGTCCTCCTGCCTCAGCCTCCCGGAGAGCTGGGATTACAGGTGGGTGCCACCGCTACAGGTTCGTGGGGTTTTGTGGGGGTGGGGGGTTCTTTCTTTGCAGACAGGGTCCCGCTGTGTACCCCAGGCCAGCCTAGACTCACGGCGATCCTCCTGCCTCAGCTTCCCTACTGCTGGGATCACGGGCGTGCACCACCACGCCCAGCTCTTGGGTTTTAAACTCACATCCACAAGAGTGCCCAGCTGTTTATAGATGGAACTCCCGGGAGGAGGCGGGGATCCCGGACGCTCTTACCCCTGGACATGACGGGCCCCAGATACACACGCGGCCTTGACAACTGTTCCTTTATTGAATGGCAGTGACAGAGGGTGCTGTGCCCGCCCCCGCCCCGCCCCACCATGCACCCCCAGGGCCCGGCCTGGGTGAGGCCTGTGATGCGCAGGCTGGGACCCGAGTCCTTGCTGCCCCGGAGCCTTGGTCCCTGTGTCCCCCTGCAGGTGAGTCCCCTGCCTCGGCCGGCCGGCGGGCACAGCGGGAGCCTGGGACTTCAGGGCCTGGTCCGCCGCCGAGGCAGGCTGGTCTTGAAGAGGGACTTGCCCGAGGCTTCCATGTAGGTGACCGTCATTTCCTTGGCGCTGATCTCCACGTAGGCGAAGCCGCCCAGTGAGTCCTCGGAGCCGTAGTGGAACCGCAGGTAGCCGCTGGGGACCTTGCGCTGGTGCCGCACGGAGGGGTCCATGAAGTTCCCGGCCCCGCTCAGCACGTAGCCGACGCCGTTCTCGTCTTGAAGGTACTGGGGACAAAGGACACAGGACGCAGGGTTGGGGAGCTCCAGTCCCAGGAGGAGGCTGACAGGACAGTGGGGCGGGGTTCACCCCCACGGCCACATCTACTCCTGAGCCTCGAGTCTTATTTTATTTATGTTTTCATTTCTTTTTTAAGGCAGGGTCTCACCGCACAGTTCAGCCCGGCCTTGAAGTCACATGGAGCCCGGATCAACCTGGAACTCCCAGCGACCCTCCTGCCTCAGCCTCCTGCTGCTGTGAGGCCGGCTGTGCCCCGGGCTGCCCCTCACCTGCAGGTTGTGGTCATGGCCACACAGGTAGGCGGTGACTCCGTAGGTGGCCAGCAGGGGCCGCAGGTTCTTGACCAAACAGCGGGTGGGCCCGTGCTCGGCGATGGACCACACGGGGTAGTGACCGGCCACCAGCACGAAGTCCTCCTTGGCCGCCGCCAGCTGCTTCTTGAGCCAGGACAGCTGAGTCCGGGCCACTGCCAGGTCCCGGGGCCTCTCGGGCTGCTGGCTCTGGAAGTCGTCCGAGTTGCCACACAGGGTCACCGTGTCCAGCATGAAGATGGCCACGGTCACGTTGCTCCGGGGGATCTTGAAGTGCAGGCGGTAGAAAGAGCTGGGGAAGTTCCTGGTGGGGACGGAGGCCGCAGGCGGACATTTGGGGCAGAGAAACGTCAGGGCAGGGCCGGGGCCAGGGCCACTCAAGACCTTTTTAAAACTTGATGAATTTATCTTTAAACTGGGGGTTGAACCCGGGGCTTTTGCCCTAAGCTATATCCCTAAGCCTTTTTTATATTTATTTTGGGGTAGGGTCTTAGGTTGCTAAGTTTACACCGCTGGGCTTGAACTTGTGATCCTCCTGCCTCGGCCTCCCACCGTGCTGGGTTATAGGTTTGAGCCATCCTATGCCCTGATTCTTTTCAAGACAGTTTCTCGGCTATATATTCCAGGCTGCCCTTGAACTCACTATATAGCCTGGGCTGGCCTTCACCTCATGGAGACCCTCCTGCTTCAGCCTCCCAAATGCTAGAATAACAGTCCTGGGCCACCATGCCGGCTCGCCATCCCCGGGGCATGCTCACCACCGCTTGGAGACCTTGGAGTAGGCGATCTGAGCCGACACATTCCCGTGGTGGTCATGGTTCCCGGCCAGCACGTACCAGGGCACGTTGCGCAGGGAGCGGTCCGAGAACACGTCCTCGAAGGTCTCCTGTGGTGGGCAGGAAGGGCGCCCCCTCTGGTGGTCACAGCTGCCCTCATGTTCCCACCAACCAGGGGCCAAGCACTAAGGAGCCATGGGGTGCTCTGGGCACCTGCGGACACTCTCCCACCCGGCTCTGCCCTCCCACAGGAAGGCCACCAGATTGGGTGCCGCTGCCCAGCCCCGCACACACCTGGAACCTCTTGTCGTTGACATCTTGGACCCCGTTGTAGTAGAAATTGTCCCCCAGGGACAAGATGAAGTCGGCCCCCATCATCTGCACTGCTTTGGCGATCTCCTTGGAGTTGGCCATTTCCCGGGCCGTGTGGAAGGGGGCGTTGGGGACCCCGCCCCAGTCCCCTAGGGCCACGAAGCGCAGGGTGGCCGTGGGGGCCGCACAGTCGGCCAGGCGGAGCAGCAGTGCGGCCTGCAGGGCCAGCAGCACCGTCCACGCAGACATCTGCCAGAGAGACCACGTGTGAGCCCTAGAGCCCCTGGGGAGCCAATACCCCGTTCCTGTAGACCAGGACCCGCAGGGTGAATTTGGGGGGAGTTTTTCGTTTTGATTTGTTTTTTGAGACAGGGTCTGCAGCCCAGGCTGGCCTCTAACTTGTGGTGATCCTTCTGCCTCAGCCTCCTGGGTGCTGAGATGACAGGTGTGCCCCACACACCTGACCCCGGGGTGCTGCAGCTCCCAAGACTCGGTGGCACCAGCGGGAACCGGCCGAGAGGACAGGAAGAGTGCCGGGAAGCCCTCGCCCTCCCGCACTCCCTCGCACCCAGAACTCACCTTGGCGAGCTGGAGCTGCTGAGCTGGGCCTCGGGAGGCGGGTGGACTCCGGGGCTGGACGGGCAGCTCGGGGCCTTTATTCCCGGGGGCGGAGGTGGGTCCTCCGGAAGGGTGATGCAGTTTCTCCAAGGACAAGCTCGGGGCCCAGGGCCCTCCCCTGGGTCATGTGAGGCCGACTTCCCTAGAACTGGACACGGGATCCCAGGCTGGGGTCAGGGCCAGCGTGGGAAGCTGCAGCCGCACGGCCGCTGGGCCTGCACGACTGTCTGTGTCCTCTGTGCACCCAGGCGTGCACCAGGCCCAGCCGTGCGTGTGCCTGTGTGTGTGTGTGTGTGTCTGTGTGTGTCCCTGCAGATGTATACGCCCACCCGTGTCTGGGTGGGGCCCGCTTCCTGTGTGCAGCCCAGCTCTGTGTGTGTGTCACATCTGCTGAGCCTGCAGGGCCGGGTGGCCTGGCTGGGACACTGGCTGTGTCACGGGGCTGTGGGACCAGACTCAGCGCAGCACCTGTGCTCCGTGCCTCAGTTGTTGGCTGGCCCCCACCCGAGCGGGCTTTGGTGACATCAGAGTGTGGGGACTTCCTGGGTCCCTCTGCCCCCCCTATCCCCACCCACACATACACACAGTGGTGGTGGCGGTGCCAGTGGCTTCTCTTTTCCGGGAAGTGAAGCCCACATCTCCCTGACCCTCCTGTCGCCTGGCCCATGAGAGCCCCTGGAGACAGAGCCATGTGACTGTCCCCTTTAACCTCAGCACCTCAAGCAGCTGCCTGTGAGACCTCCCAGGGACTCGGTCTCTCAGGGAGGGCTGCAGGGCTGGGCAGTGCAGGGTGTGGCCTCCCTGTCACCTCCCAGCTCCGATGCTACCCGGGGTGGTCCTCCGACATCCACAACCCAGTCCCTCCAGTGCCTGCTAAATCGCTAAGTTGCTAAGTTACCCAGGCTGGGGGCAAACTCCAGATCCTCCTGCCTCAGCCTCCCAGAGTCCTGGAATGCCAGCAGACAGAAGGAACACTCACCCAGTGCAGGAATACAGGCTCACAGAGGGTGAGCGACGCCACCTGGGTCAGCCAGGGAAGATGGCTGTTAGTGATACCAACACCCCCCAGCCCCCCAGTGTCCCAGCTACGACAGACAGACAGACAGGAACTGGGAGACAAAGGCAGAGACGCCCTCCCTCCCCCAGCTCACCTGCCTCCCGTGTGGGCTGGGTGCAGAGGTCGGGACTGCGGCTCGCCCAGGTTTTAATGAGGAGGAGGTGGCCGAGGAGGCCAGGTGCACCCTGTGGAGGGTGGAGACCCGGCGGACCGGCCCCACCTGCCCCAGCGACCTGGGCGGAGGACGCCCAGGTGGACCCAGACCTGCGCTCCGGGGCTGAAGGTCTAGGCAAAGGGGAAGCCCTGGGGCCCATTTCTTCTTCCATGTCCTTCTCCCGAGAGTTGTCCCCAGCCTGGGACACCCGGGCACCCTTGGGCCATAGCCGGCGGTGGCCGTGCGGAGGACCGAGGCCAACCTGTACGGAGGAGGTTTGACAGCTTCCTGCTCTGTCTCCCTGGCTTTAAAATAGGTGATCCCAGCGCTCAGGAGGCTGAGGCAGGAGGACTGCTGTGTGTTAGAGGCCGGCGTGCACTACACAGTGAGACCCTGACTCAAAACACAAAAATCAAAACCAAACAAAAACTGATGGGTGTGAAGAGGTGGGGGCGCAGCTCAGGGGGTCACATCTGCCTGACGTGGGGGAGCCCCTGGGTTCCACTGCAGCAGGGTAAAGGGTATGAGAGAAGGGTCAGGTAACCCCTAGAATGTCACAGAATTTAAGGACACACGCACGCCCCAGAAACAGCCAGCAATTTTCCTTCTGCTGCTTTTTAGCACTGGAGGGTTGAACCCGAAGCCTTCACATCGAGCTGCATCCCCAGCCCTGCTTATCTTTTATCTGAAGCAGCCTCTCGGTTGTTAAGCCGCCCAGGATGATCTTAGGCCTTCAGCCCTCCTGCCTCAGCCTCCCAGAGAGCAGGATGAGAGGCGACCACTGGCCCAGCCGGGGAGTGGGGGGCTTCACGGCTCTCCCAGCGCCCTGTACCCCCTTTCAAGAGTGCGCTGGACCTGGTGGCTGCCATCTAGGCTCCCTCCCGGGGACACCTGGCGGGCACCACCTGAAGGGGCCGGTCCAGGGAACGGTCGCCCGTGTCACATGATGCTGCCTGATTCCGTTAAGGTTTCAATTCTCCTCCGAGGTTTAGCCCTGAACCCCATAACTGCAGCCCCCCACACCGGGCCGTCCCACGTGGAGGGACGGTGGCACAAGGGCCGACTGGCATCTGCAGCTGTCACAGGAGGACAGGGTGCATTGTGGGAGGCGGGAAATCTAGACCGAGCCTGGAGTCCTTTGAATATCAACAAAAGAAATGTAAAATTTTTAAAAATTAAAGAGTTGGAGTCTCGGTAGGTCGCGCAGGTTGACCTTGACTTTTATTGATTGGTTGATTTGAGTGTTATTTCCGAGACAGGGTCTCACTACGTAGTCCAGCCTGGCCTCAAACGGACGGACAGCAATCCTCCTGCCTCGGCCTCCTAAGTGACGGGATGACAGCACAGGCCTGTGCCACCCTGCCCAGCACCATTAATTTTTCCATGTGGGTGCCCTTTATAACTTTTTCTTTTCAGTACCAGCGGTGGAACCCAGGGGCGCACTACTTCTGAGCTACAGTCCCAGCCCTTTTTAAATCTTGAAGTAGGATCTTGCTGACCTGCCCAGGCTGGAATCAGACTTGCAATCCTCCTGCCTCAGCCTCCCGAGGAGCTGGGACTTCAGGTATGCACCAGCACGCCCGTTTATAACTTTTCTGTTAGCTTAATGATCTTAATTGGCTTTATATTTTTAATTCTGTCATCATCCCATTACATGGAATAACCATTACCCCATTTATAACTTTGTCATTAGATTTGGCACTTTTGGTATTTTTTAAAATCAGAAAAACACACAAAAAGTGCATGTGGTTAAAATGAAGCAGGAGTAGGGTGGGGAGACGCAGGGCAGCAGGCTTGGCCTGCTTAAGCCTGCTTTCCACCCTCTGCGGAATAATAAAGTACTTAACGAACCCGCCTGTAGTCTCAGCACTGGGGAGGCTGAAGCAGGAGGATGGCTTTGAGCTCAAGCCAGCCTGGGCTACACAGGGAGACCCAGTCTCAAAACACTAAACAAGGGCCAAGGACATAGCTCAGCGGCACAGCACCTGCCTGGCAGGTGCAGGGTTCTGAGTTTGAATCCTAGTACAAAAATGTTTTTAAAAACCTTAAATAAACCCTATTTTGTGCAGGGAACTTTTTTCTTTTTTTGGTCTTTTTGAGACACTCTCCTTGTGCAGCTCAGGCTGGCCTGGAACTTGTAAGGAACTTAAACTTCCTCAGCCTCCCTGGGGCTACGATGACAGGCGTGCGCCCCCACGCTGGACTTTCTGCAGGGAACTTGAGGCAGCCTGGAGCTTCTACAGCTGTCCTTCTGCCCCCGTTTGGTTTGGCCTAAGCGCCCCTGTCTGTTCCATTGGGACCCCATTTCTGCAGATTTCCCGCACTGCTGGACCTGGATGTGCCCACAGTCCCCCTCCCCCCTGCAGCCTGGGCCTCAGTCCCATGCTTGAGTTCCTCCTTGAGCTGTATGGCCTGGGCTCTGCCCTCCCCGGCTCGCCCTGGGGCGTCCTCTTCTCCACTTTTCTCTCTTTGATCCCTTAGCTTCTGGGGCCTCCTCTGCCTGCTGGGCAGCCGCTGACCTCAGGGCCTTGGCACCTGCTGCTCTGCCTGCCTGAGGGCTTTTCCTGTCTTATCACTCACCCAGTGCCTGCCTGCCTCACGGTCTTCATTTTTGTCTTTAAAACATACTGCTACCAGGGCTGGGATTTAGCTCAGCGGCATAAGCGCCTGCCTTGCAAGCAGGCAGTTGTGAGTTCGATCCCTGGTACCGGTAAAAAGGAAAAAAGACAAAAAAAAAAAAAACATATTGCTACATAAATAAATAAATTTGTCGCAGTGCTGGGGATGGAACCCAGGGCTTCATGTGCGCTAGGCAGGCGCCCCTGGGGGTGCAGCACCCCGGCCCCAGGACCTATACTTAGCATCTGTAGTCTCTGTGGCTGTGCTCACCACCGCCTGACAGACACGCTTGTGTGCCACGCTGTCCCTGCCTCACTCACCCCTGTGAGCTCCCAAAGACCCGGAACCTCCTCCGGGTTGTTTCTTGGTATCTCTCCAACATCTCAAATCAGGAGCCCGTGCAGGCGACTGCTCAGAATTACTTGGGAAAGGACAGAATGAGTAAGGTCTCCGGTCTCTACCAACCCAGCCTGGCTCCTGTTTCTGCCCCTGATGGAATATTTCACGCACTCCTTTATAACTTTATTCAATCCCATGTATGCTTTTGTTTTGTGTTTTGTTGAGGCCTGGTCTTGCTATAGCCCAGGCTGGCCTCAAAGTGCAGAGATCCTCTTGCCTCAGCCTCCCAAATGTTGGGATTATAGATGTGTGCTACCATATCCTGCTTCATTCAATTTTATGTGTGGTAGGTTTTGTTTGTTTTTTTCTTTTTGTACCAAGAATTGAACTCAGGACCTTGTGCTTGCCAGACAGGCGCTTATGCCCCTGAGCTGTATCTCCGGCCCTCAAATCTTGTTACAATGCTCAATTTGCATTCAGGACAGCAATGAAGGCCCCAGGGCCTTTGCACTTGCCGTTTCCCTGAGGACAGCCCTCCGTTTTCTGACCCAGCTTCTCATCATCCTGAGATGCCACCTCCTGGGGCCTCTGGGCCTCAGTTAGCCCTGCTTACCCACTCCACAGTCCCACCCTTGTCAAGCATGTATGTCCTCTCTGTCCCCACCAGGAGGTCCCTGGAACACAGGACTGGGTGGACAATCAGATTGGGAATGGGGTGGGCACACAGGCTCAATGCTGTTCCTCTTTTTTGTCCTTTGTGGCCCCGGAGAAGGAACTTGTGGTCTAGCATGCGCCGGCCAGCACTACACCGCTGGACTCCATCCTGCAGAGACTTTCCCACCCTTGTCTCAGCCTGGGAAGTTACATTTGTCATTCCATGGAAACGTTGTTGGTCTAGCAAGTTAATTCCAATCTACTGCTTTCAGTGTAACCCACGGCAGAAAAAAGACACTCAGCCATATTTATAGCTACGGGGAGCCCAGAGACAGCCTAGATAGGGGCTCACAGGAGCAAGGAGCCCGACCCAGGGCCTAACCCGGTGGCTAGAGGAGGCAGCAGGAAACAGGTGCGCACTGTGAGCTGGGCTCTGCAGGACGCCTAGGAGCACCTGGCAATTTGCAGAGGGAAAGATCCGCAGAAAGACCAACCTGCATAGCACAACCGAGGTAGCAGCTAGTGCTCTGGGCTTGGTGCTTCAGCTCTGATGTGCAAACCTCTTCTGTCCTGGGAAGTCACAGCCCGGGAGAGCAGGGAAATGGCGTCAAAGATTACACATCCACACCTCAGCCAGCACTGTTTACGTTGCTTAGGGCCAACTGAAGGGGAAAGGAAATGGCCCAGCCAGCTCTGGACAGAGGCAGGGCCAGGCTTTCTTTAACTTCTCTGTTTAAGGAGAGTCGCCAGGTGGTCCTCCACACCTGGCCAGTTTCTTATTTTCTACTCTGAGGCAGGGTCTCAGTAACTTAGGTTGGGTTCGAACTTTCGATCCTCCTGCCTCAGCCTCCCAAGTGCTGGGGTTACAGGTGTGCACCAGTACAGCCAGCTGCTGCTCTCCATTTGTGCTCCAAGGAGAGACAAAATACAACGGGTGTTCCCTTATCAAAATATGCGGGCATTCACGTTAGCGGCTGAGAAGTGGAAAGCTGCCTAGACAGGGGTGCTGGTGACACTGTCTTCCCAGCACTCGGGAGGCTGAGGCAGGAGGATCACCTTGAGTTCGAGGCCGGCCTGGGATACACATAGTGAGACCCCGTCTCAAAAATAAGTTAATAAAGTCCCCTTTTTCTTTGTCCTTACTGGCACACAGTAAGGTGCACGGTACGTCCTCAATAAGTAATTTGTGGAATACATTTTTAAAAGATCAGTTCTTACAAAAACAAGCCAAACACACCGCTCAGTCTTAAAATCTGTGTTTATCTCTATTGCTTATCTATGCATGCACTAGTATCCATGTGT